GCTACCCATCTGGATTTCCATCATCCTCCTTTGGCTTTTTTGGTACATGATTTCCCAGGTATGTTACCTATTATCCCTCTTCCATCCATCTCCTTCCAAGGCTATCCACTGTATCACTGAATGGTTTTTGGCAGATACATTTACCCTTCTCTTTCCCACGTTGGTGTGCATATCTTGTCTCATACATCTCCCAGCTTTCTATTTGTGAGACCTCCATCTGGCCCATTTTTTACGACTGTATATTTCTGAGGATCTTCCTGATACTTTGGAGTCTCGGGTGAAGGCTGCTCATCAACATGCTTCCTTTTCCTCCCTTGTGTTTCATCTTTCCCAAACCTCTCCTACCTCTATTCCTGTGTCTCATTCCCTGCATCCTCTCCACTACTAGTGCCACTTTCCTGGGTTTCTGCAGTGAGTTGCCCATTGTCATGTTTTCTGATGACAGTTTCGTGACTATCCCATAGGATCTAGCACTGTGGGGGCACAGTTAGCCAGATGTGTTCACCATGGACCCCTGGGTTCTTCAGGTTCTAACAGAACTATTCCTTCAGTTTCTGGCCTTTTTTATCTTCACGACCCATTTGCTTCCTCTATCCTCAGGATCCCATTTCATACCAGCATCTCTCGGAGGCAGTTCGTGATCTTTTGCACAAGGATGTTATCGATTAGGTATTTCACTCTTCTCCAGGATTTTATTCCCAGTTGTTTGTGGTTCCCAAGAAAACTGGAGATTGGTGTTCTGTCATTAATCTCTCCAATGTCAGCCACTTCATAATCCTCCTGCAGTTCACCATGAGGTCTTTCCTAATCCTTCATAGATCATTCACTCCAGGTCTTTGGATGACCAAGGTTGATCTCTCTGATGCTTACTTTCATATCCCCATCTCTCCTGCATCCAGACGTTACCTTCGGTTTGTTCATGGTGGTCGAGTGTTTAAGTTCTGCACTCTACTTTTTGGTCTGGCAGCAGCACCATATGTCTTCTGCTGTATAGCCAGAGCCTTTGCTCACATCTTCACACTTGGTTTGTGGTTCTCTCAATATATGGACACTGTCTTCTTTTAGTTCTGTCCCAACAAGCATCTCACTAATGTATCCATTTCCTCTTACAGGAGGCAGCTTGTTAAGCAGGAGAAGTCCTATCTCACACCCATGCAGTATTTTATTTATTTGGGGGTATTTTTCAACACCTACCTCAGTAGGGCCAAGTCTTCTGTAGGGTGGGGAGAGTATCTGGATTCTCAGGAGATCTCTGGTTATTGGACAATGGTCAAATCTTTTCTCCACATCAATTTTCTGGAACTTCTTGCAGTTCATCGGGCCTTAGATTATTTCCTACTTTTAGTAAGGGGCCATTTGGTTATGATCCATTCTGACAAATTCAACCATTGTTTCTTACATCAATCAACAAGGGGGTACCCACTCCTGTTTGTTTTACTTTCGAATGTTGGATCTCCATTTTTGGGCTCAATCTTAGCAACTTTGTTTTCTTGATTATCATGTTCCAGTGATCTGAATCTTATAGGGGATTGGTTACCTCATCCTGATAAGATTGTACTTACAGAGTGGTTTTTCACTTCTCATGTGTTTCAGAAGTTATGCTCTTTTTCTGGATGCATTTTCCATCAATCTCAATACCAAACAGCCCCTCTTGTGGTCTCCAGTTCCACATACTTTGGCTTTGGCAGCAGATGATTTTAATCAGAATTGGACCAATCTTTACCTTTATGCTTATCTTCCTATCCGTATTCTTCTTTGTATTATTTCACTCATCAAAGCCATTCTGTGTCAGGTCTTCTAATTGCCCCATTCTAGCCTGCTCATCTGAGATTTTCAATCCTGAACCTCCTTCAGTCCTCCCCTCCCATACCTCTTCTACTTTCCTGATCCCTTCTAAGTCATCCTATTTTATCCTGCCATCACCACACTCCAGCATGGATTTTGTTCAGTCCCCTGCGAGACAATTTAGACTATGTGGGTAGCCTTCCTTCTTTTTCATTTGGTCTGCTCTTCTTCTGTAAATGTTTCCCAGAAGAAATGATGCATTTTCTGGAGTTGATCTTTTTACCATGGTTTCTCACCTTCCCGACCTAGTGTTTCCCACTTTTAAAATTTCTCTACTTGACTTTTCAACAATACTTTATCAGTTTCCACCATTGCTGGCTATAGGACAGCCTTGTCTAATACCTTTCGTTTCTCCCAATCTTGTAGCACATTTTCCTCTCCTGTTTCACTCTTTCTGTTTGATTTGGCATGTTTTTCTACTCTCATTTCAGTTGGAACCAGCCTTCACTACTTTGCTTAGGAGTAATGGAAGGTAGCATCACTTCTGTTTGTGTTTCTCCTTTTCACCCTGCACACAAGCTCCCTTTACTTTTGGGGATTCTGCCTTTCCTTTTACCACTCATTCCTTTGGGCTATATTCACATTTGCCTCTTCCAGTGATACCCTTCTTGGAATCCATTGTCCTTGATTTTATGCCTTCTTTATGTTTTAACAGTTTTAACATGCCAACATCATAGTGGGCATTCCCCTTTTTGCCCCCTAAATGGATCATCATAACATTTCTGATGCTTCTCTATCAAACTGGGGGGGAGGGGTGTTCTGACCTAGTACATGTCTTAGGACATGTGGGCTCTGGGGTATCATTCACTTTATATTTATATCCTGTACCTGTCTTCATCTGTTGGGCATTTTCCCATTTCCTTCTTCTTCTCCTGTCCTTTCATCCTGCACACAAGGTTCTTTTTCTGTTGGGAATTCTGCCCTTTCTTCTACCACTCACTCTTTTGTGCTATATTTACTTCACATGTGCCTCTTCTTAAAGTTTTGTTTTAGCAACATGACCGTGCCAACACCATGGTTGGCATCCCCTGTCCACCCCCTGACTGGATCTCCATTGCTTCCCTGATGCTTCTCTATCAGACTGAAGGGAGGGGGCATCTGCCTCTCCCTTCCTCTGGGCCATCCTACTGTGGCTCACATTTTTTCCCTTTTCACTTGGTTGTTCAATCATGGATTGCTAGTTTTCCACTCATGCTGGTTTTTGGACAGCTTTATCTCCTACATTTTGCATTTCCAGTTGCTGCCTGGTTTTCTTCTCTTGTTCTCTCCTCTTTGTTCTGATCCTTCCTTTTTCACCGACCCTCTTGTTCTACTCCCATGCTTGACTGGGACTTTGTTGCATTTTTTTACAATCTTTTTCAGGCTCCTTTCAAGCTGTTGATTTCATGTTTATTGTTTCATCTCTTTTCTCCTCACTTAGTGTCATCATCATTCAGATGTCTATACCTTCAATGCTTCCTTCACTCTCTTTCACCATACTTTCTTCCTCTATCCTGGCCAGACCTTTCTTCCTAACACTTTGGCTGCTCAGGTGGATGATTGTCATTTCACATTTCTTATGTCTCTTTCTCATCATCTCTTGAATGAGACCCTTCAGACTGGCATGTGGATGGATCCACACACATTTGTTTCCTTTTATCATTTGGATGTTTTGTCATCTGCTGGGTTGCAATTCACTCCAGTTGTTGTTCTTCAATACACCTACATACTGTCTGTGAGAGGGTAATTGCATTTTCCTTTTCAAGGCCTTCTTCCCCTTTCTTGAATCCTACCAGATGGCTTTTGTTGTCTCCCAGGATATGCATATTTCCTCAAATCCTCATTGGACGAGGGGGGAACAGAAAGTGTTCAACCCATCTGCCCTGGCTCTATCAATGCCCACTGCAAGATGAGTTGTTCTACAAGATCACTAGATGTTTCCTTGTGGTATACAATTTTACTCACTTGTCTAACTTAGATTGCACTATTTCCATGGACTATCATGAATTGATTTGCCCACTTCTTTGGCTTGTGCTTGCAAATATAGGGTTTTGCATTCACCCATTTCACTGTCTCCAGTAAAAGACCTTTCTGGCTGGTAGTTTGATGGGAATCCAGGTGCTTCTCTGAGTCTCCCCAATGCAAATTCTCCCCCTTCTTCTTCAAGTGGAGCACAAAAGACTTTCCACCAGTTCCTAACTGCTGGGGTGGTGGACCTTGGAGAATCCTTACCAGTTGGGCTTAGCACAATACAGTAAGAAGTAGAGTGGTGGTGATACTGTCAGTGCAGTACAGGTCACCCCTCACACAACTGATGTGTCTTTTTTCTTGTGTAGACTTTTCCTTAGGGTGCTTTCTAAAGGGAGCTCATCTAGGTTTAAAATTCATATCAGCTCCTCCACCACTTCAACATGAATTCTAGTAATTCTGTGTGAGAGGTGAGGTATCATCTCAGAAATTAACATTTTCCTATATTAAAAACGTATTTTGGATAGATACTCATCTCCACACACATTTCCACCCAACCTCTTCACTTCTGGTGTACTTTTTTTTTTCTTGCCTCATCTAAAAATGAAGTTATCTTGAGATTCATGGAGGTTGTCACTTCCTATTGGTGGAGGGCTATCGTAGCATGATGACATCATCATGCACCAGTGCAGTTCATGTTAAACATGTGAATTTATGTGGGAGTTAGCTCAAGGATAGTGGTATGCAAATCTATTAAAACAGATGTGCGAGGTATATAGAAATTCCTTGTGTGGAGATGAGTATTTATAGAAAAATGTTAACTTTAGAAATTCCATATGTAGACTTTTTCTCATACAAAATACTGTTATTGTATGTTTTACTGTATAAACTTATAGAATGATGTTGTTTTTGTTCCGTCATGTGCTTCATGCTGTTTAAAATGATCAAATGTATGTTAGATGGACACAAAAGCCTACAGGTAGTTTAGATTACTGATCTTAGTGATTGTTGAATGTATGTATGCATGAAGTAATAGTAGTGGGTTTGGACTGAGTTGCTTTTTCTAACCATGTATGTTTTCACATTCCTAGGTATAGTTGGTGATTGTTTACCAGGCTATATTTTTACAAGCTGGATATTCATTTTAACAAAAAGCTGTATCTTTTTCTTTTGTGAAGATTGGTTTATAATAAAACTGTAGTTAATATATTGTGAATTTTATTTCATTTATTGCTGAGAACTTTTTTTCTTAAGACATGTACATAAGGAGGCAGTTTGGGCTTTTATAATAACTGATATTAACAGTAATATTTTTTGTTTTTTGCATTGTGTTTTGGTTGATCTTTTAACAATAAAGCTAATAACAGTAATCTCTCTAGGGTATTCATGAGAGTTTGAACAAAAATGGGAGCCAAGCAAAGCACTAGTGGTCATAGTCCTCGTAGCAGTTCAGCTAATGAAGCTTGTGGCTCTCCATCTACAACAACAAGTAGTTTTGGAATTTTGGGACATGGGCACAGAACTGGAACGAGTGCTGCTGATGCTCGACAACGGGCTCGGAGTCTCTCTAGCGTGTTAAGTGTAAATGGAACTTCTAGCCAGCCTTTAGGCATACCTTCAGGCCCCAGTGTTAGTCTAGGAATATCTGATTCACCCAACTCAGACACTAGTACTCCTGATGACACATCTCCTTTCAGCAGAGTTTTTGCTGCCCATTCTTTGCCTGCTCAGCTCATGTCTCTTAACGGTAAGTAGTCTAGTCTACCTGTTTGTCATAGTAAAACTGTGCATAACGCTTTTGAATAGAGTTGTTTAAACATTCGTTTAACAACAAGTAAAAACAAAAAAAAAAAGTATAACACTATACAATGCTTAACTTACAACAGTATACAATACTTTATATGTCTTGGCACAAATGTCTTTTAGTTTTCTCCAAAAAATATGAAATTACTCCTTTCACAAAAGTAGTAACAATTATGCAAGTCTAAGTCAATTTTACCCTTGTTTTGTAGAATCCTACATTGTATGTTAACTCTTGTACTGGTTTATGCAATTCATCAAAATTAAAATTTCAGCAATGTTAATAATTTTTGTTTTCATAGTGAAATTTAACTATAATGTTTTTGATACAATCTACTATAGTTTTATATATTTCTCAACTTTAAAACATTGTCATGTAAAGATTTATAAATAATTGGTTCCATCTAGTTTTCTGATTTGTTTTATATCCAAGTAGAAATACACTGACTTGTAAATCTTTGTGTGTTTACTTTATATCATTTATTGGGTCCAATTAACACCTACAGAATATCTTTTTCATCTGGTTTTATTTTATTCACAGTAGGGCTAGAGATTAGTGAAATTTGCTAATTTATTAATTGTTAAGCTCATTAATTAGTTACATTTAACTACTTAATTATTTTAACATGAAACTAGTATCCTTATTTCTAACTTGTTTGGGGTTATTTTAAAATATTTTCAAACTACCATTCATTTAATATGACAGATCGTCAGGTTCAACAATTTAGGAGTAAGTCATTGTTTTAATCCTAAACTGCAATATGTGAAAAATTGAAAATATATCATATACACAATGTAACACAAACCTGAAACCTGTAATAAATGGACAATATAATTAATACCTAAGAATACTGGAGATTGGAGTCCCATTATCAATCTGTCTCAACTCAATCATTTTTTGAATCCTCCTCGTTTTACGATAGAATCATTTCTAAACTTATGATGGCATTTTTCACCCATTTTTTGGATGACCAAGTTCGATGTTACTGAGGCATATCTTCACATTCCCATAGCAGAGTCCTCCCGCTGATTGCTACAATTTGTGCACAAGGGTCAAGTGCTGCAGTTCAGAGCTCTGCCTTTTGGCCTTGCATCAGCACCTTATGTCTTCTGCAGAGTGGTACAAGCCTTTTCTTGCCATCTGCATTACTTGATCCTGTGCACACATCATTATGTGGATGACTGGCTACTTTTGGCACCATCTTGTAAATTGGCAAAACAACATACCCAGAGTCTCCTCTCAGAAGCCACAAAGGCAGACTTTCTTATCAAAGTAGAGAAATCCATTCTATCATCAACTCAATACCTTGTCCATTTCAGTGTTTTTTTCAACATATACTTAAGTCAGGCTCAGTTTACTCCCATCAGACTACAAGCTATGGAAAGAGCAGTCAGGCTTTTATTTAAGTCTCCTTCTCTTACTGCACGAATGGTTCTCACTCTTTTGGGGATGTGGGTGTCCCTTGAATCTACCATTCCCTTGGGAGGAGCCTATATGAGGTCCCTTCAGTGGTCACTGCATGACCAATGGAGCATGAACTTCGATACATTGGATCATCCTGTATCCTTACTCAGGAGCAACATCACAGATCTCGAGTGGTGGTTGGATCGGAACAATGCCAGTATCGAGGTACCGATTCCTCATCCTTATCCAGAAGAAATCCATATGTTTACAGTTGCATCTCTTCAAGAATAGGATGCTTTTGTCCACAGTCAGGAATTTCAGGATATTTGGACAGTCTACGAGTCTTTTCTTCACATCAGCAATCTTGAACTACTTGTGGTACATCAAGCAATGGTTCAGGGTCTGTCTCTCTTGAAGGGGAAAGTTGTCATGATACATTCCAACAATTCCACAGTGGTATCCTACATTTCTAGTCAAGGGGGCACACATTCTCGAGATCTTTGTTTTCGAACTTTTGATCTTCTCTACTGGGCTCACTCCAATCTTATAAACCTCTTGGCATTCTATGTTCCTGGAGTGATGAATTTAATTGTGTATCATTTGTCTCGGCCCAACCAGATTCTCCCAACTGAATGGATGCTACATCGTGAAGTTTTTCAGTGGATTTGCTCTTGGTTTGGATCTCTGATGATCGATGCCTTTGCAACTTATTGGAATTCTCAGCTGCAGTTGTTTTGGTCCCCAGTACCTTATCCTCGAGCTTTAGCAATAGATGCATTCAGTCAGGACTGGACGGGTTTGCATCTGTATGCCTTTTCCCCAATTTGTCTGTTGCTCAGAGTTATAGATATGGTTTGTTCCACTCCTTGTCAGGTTCTTTTGGTAGCACCATTTTGGCCAATTCAAACATGGTTTCCTCTTCTTCAATATCTACAGGTGTATCTACCTTTAGTACTTCCTCTATGGCCATCTCTGTTGCAACAACCTTGATCCGACGTTCTACACCTAGATGTTCAGAAATTCAAACTTCATGGCTGGAAGTTATCCAGGCCTTTGCCAGACATAGGGGCTTAATGTCTAAAGTTACGTTATACTATACTAAATCTTTCCGTCAACCAACTATGCCATTTATCAACAAAAGGGCACACTTATTGTCGGTGGTGTATAAATAGGAAATTCAACCCCCTTCATCCAAAGGTGTCAATTATATCATGTTTTTTTATTTGGATTTTTGAAAGAGGTTTGACTTCGTCTACTGTGGCCTTATATAAAGCATCTTTATTGACTACTTTTCGACATTCTAAATATAAGAAAGTTTTGAGTCTCCAGTTATATCTAACCTTTTAAAATCCTTTTGCATCCTTTGGTCCAGATGACCTTTTCAATTACCTAATTGGGATGTTAGGGTTGTTTTACATGCATTGTCTCATCATCCCTTCGAGTCTTTAGCCTCCTGTTTTTGTATCACCTTTCGATTAAGTAATATTTTTTGTTGTTGTTGGCATGTGGATGTTGATTGGAATTATTTGCAATACATGTACAGAGGACTCTTTATCATTCCACCTATATATTGCTTTACCTTGATAGGTCCTTCTTTCTGAAGACTCTTGCAGCTAGAAAGAGGGAAAATCCTTCTCACCCATTCACTTGTCAGCCATTTCTCACCTTTATAACCGTTCAGGCACCAATTTTGATATGTCCTGTCAGGGCTCTCGGGTGTTATGTGGTTCGTACTAACTCATTTGGGGGTAATAGGAATAGACTGTTTATTCCATGGTTTCCTGGGATTTATCCCCAATTACATTAGCAAGGTGGCTTTGAAAATTGATTCATATTGCCTTCTCTGGTCTATCTTTACTGGTCACATATCTGTGTCATTGTCTGCCTGTTTGAATTGCCTTCTGGAAGACATTGAGCAGGCTGGTATGTGGACTTCTCCCAATACTTTCCACTCTCATTACTTGCATGATCTGGCAGTTTCGTCTTCTGAAGGTTCTTGACTACCCCTTGTGGCCGTTTTGACTATATCTGCTAGATTGTGATGGGGTGGGTAATTTTCTCCATCATATGTTCTTTTTTCTTTCCAGAGTCCCTTTACTTTTTATCTGGATCCCACTCTGTGGTGAGTGTTGCCCAGACAGGTGTAATTCTGCACTAGCAACCAATTTCACTATCCTTCCAACTGGTTGCAACAGGCTCTGTAGAAATTAGGGGTTCCATAAGACCATCTAGGCACATTCTGGATGGTATTATCATATTCTCATGGACAGCCACTCATAGACTATCATGAGTAAAGCTAAAGGGGATCCTGCCCGTCCCTGCTGATCATCAGGTTGAAAATATTGGGGACGATTTGCTTTTAAAAAGTCAAGGAACTTGTTTCCAGAGCACTGTTTCTCAGGACTTTCCAATGTACATTACCCTCCAGATTCTACTAGTGGAGCTAGGGAGTCCTTACTACACCCAGTTTCCAGTCACTGGGGTGGTGGACAAAGAATTTTCCTCCAGAGTGTTCGAGTGTGTTCCTCCACTCATTGAGAAGAGGGCAAAGCTGGAAGCCCTTCTACTCGGGTCCCTGGGTGTATTTCCCAGATGTCGGTAGGAGTGGCACCAGCCTCCTCAGGAGCCTACTCATAATACCGGTTCAGATTTGATCCTATACTATCCGGTTGGGGAGTACATGGCCCTTCTTATGTACAATGTTCAACTGTTTATTGTTCATGCATGGAGGTCCATTATCATCTCATAATTCAGGGGACAAGTGGAATGCTCCTTGCCCATGAGTTGGAGAGTAAGGATGAATATTCATAATTCCAGACCGGATGAGTTCTGTTCCTTTGGTTGAGTAAGGCATGCATGATCCCGTCATTCCGAGCCTGGGATGTTGCCTTTGGTGGTTCGGAATGCATCATTCTATAGCTACAAGTTGGGATCCAATACAAAGTATATCTATATATCACATTGCAGTCCAATTGCCCTTGTCACCAATGTGGGATATAGTAACCAAGACCCCATAATTCCAACACAGTATGGATATGGGCCTATAATAATTATTCATGTACTATTCCACTCTTGATATCGATATTCAGTTCTGGGTAAAGAGCATACCTGTTCTGGATGTAGTGTGGTTTTCCCCACTTGAGTACCACTCTTATCTTGATACATCCCTGTTCTATGCAGACGTTTTCTGTATGGATCATGCCCTCACTGGCCATTCCACCTTCTCATTGTGGGATTCTAGCTAAAGTGTCAGCGAATGGTAACATTTTCCTAAATTGAAAATGTATTTGCAATAATACTTACCTCACTGATGCTATCCCACCCTTCCTCACCACTAAGAGCTGGTGTTAGTGTTGGGAATGGCATAAGTCTGGAAAAAGTGATTACATTATCTGAATGAGGTGCTTCTATACAGTATCTGTATAGAGAGCTTATTGATGTTGGTGGAGAGTTTTGCAAGTTAGATATTGCCAAGGGCATTCAAGTGGGGTATAAAAGAGATAGGCAAAGAGGTAGAAACCTTGTAGATCGAGAAATAGCCAAAGTGTCAGTGGAGTTAAGTATTATTGGAAATACATTTCAATTTAGAAAAATCTTAACATTTATTGATTTCATTTTTTATATAAAATATAGTTTAGATATATGGTTACATAACATAAATTATGTGGAAAATGTTACGCATAATAATTTAATGAGTAGGAGTTCTAGACTAAGAATTTTATTGTAATAAGCTGATACTAAAGATATAAGATATAAAAATTTAGTTTTCCTGGAAACTTGTATTTATGAACAAGTGAATTTTTCTGCAAAATTTTATGTTTGACTGGAGCACAAATTTGTCATTTTTTTTTCTCAAGCAGTTTACAAAAAAAAACAAGTGAAAATAGCATTATACATCTAATTCTAATTTTAATAATTAATTTATTTTATCACATTTATATAAAATAATACTTTCCATGTACGTACAGTTTTAAAATTAAAACATCTTTTGGATTTTACATGTCACTACTGAATGCAGAATAAAGTGATTTTTAACTAAGTCTATTTTTAATACATATTTAATGTACACTGACATGTGAGTTAATTGTTATAGTCACTTCTAAATGTTAGAGTAATCAAGTAATTCTGCAGTGTGAAATCATATTAGCTTGACACAAAAATTACACAAAACCAATAAATATAAACTCTCAAGAGAAATTTACAAACCTGATGCAAAATACACATGGAATGTAATTCATTTAGCATTTAAACTTTACCAAATACAGAACATTTAACCACAATATGCCAAAATAATTGTTCAGAAACCATTGAAAAATGTTATGCAGAAAGATATGTTGAAATGCATTAATAAAATAATAAAAGCAGAGCAAAACAATCTTGAGACAAATATTAAGACCAATATTTTTTCAATGCTTCCTATTGTATAATTGTTGTCATGAGGCATAACTGCCAGATGTATAATTGTAAAAAAAAGAAAAGTTCACAATTAGTGAATAGTGTATATATGACACTGCAGGACAATATAATCTTTTACAAATGGATTTTTGATGCATGTAAAATTATATAAGTTTAATTGCATCTCCTTGCATTATGAAAATAAGAACTATTATTTTTGAATCACCATTTGTTGATAATAGTATTCACTGTTATTTTACTACAAATAGAATTATCACACTGGGTACATTCAATTATATTTAGTGTTGAGATTTTGTGAGCAGTATTTTGAAAAAGTTTGAGCCTTCTTCTTTCTTTTTTTTTTAATATTTGGTTATAACTTCCAAGAGGTCTGCAAAATACTTTTGTAATAATTGTTATCTTAGAACCTCTGAATTTTTGACAAGAAAATGACAGGATTTTTCTTTTCTTTTTTTAGTGACCATTATCATTATAAAAATAGTTTACTGAAAATTAATCAAAATTAATTGAGCTCTAGGTATATAGAGCTCAATTAATATGTACTAAACAAGAAACTTTTACTTATGTCATTATTATTATTATTACTCTTATGGTATTAGGTTGGATTTGTGCACCAAACAACGAATAGTCACAGATGAAAGATTGAAGCAAAGCTGTAAATGTCTTCCATGTATATATTACAATGGTTACTGAGTTAATAACATTAAATGATTGTTTTAAAAGAGCTCATATTAGAGATAAGCATTTAGCTATCTAATTGAGTTTTCCTAGCATATATTTATTTTGCACAAATTTTAAAGGTTTATGGCTAAGAGGAGGGCTCAAACCTCTCATGCCTTGAGTAATGTAGCACTGGTTATCTTTGTAGCATCATGTAATTAGTAAGCAATGTATTAAGTTAAACTGCACTATTGTTTAGTCTAAAGAAGGTAAACATGAACAACAGGCAATGCTGTGTGTGGTTATTTAACCAATGGCCACTAGGCCACACTCTGACATTTGTAAGCTATTTACAAGCAGAGTAGAACATACGCACAACATCATGCTAAGGGCATTAATACTAGCTATGGTGTCATGTGAGGTCACCAACGTCAGTTGGTGTGTATCTGCAATTGAACAAGGTCATCTGCTGCTGTCCTTAATTTTGAACTTCTGACTAGGGAGAAGGCAACTGGCTAGTAGCACTCCATGTGCCACCAATTCTTGAGAGCTACTCTCTTTATCAATGATTAGGTTTGACTGTAATATTATGATGCCCCTTGGCTGGTATAGTCTAATAATAGCTCCATGAAGTAAGGATCACATAATTCAATAACCAGTGCACCAAAGATGTTTGCCTTTTCAGCTGTAAGAGTGTTATAATGTAGTGACCAATAGTAGGGGTCAATTCCACTATTCAGTAATGAAAGATTAGACCAAAAGTTGGCAGTGAGTGCTTCTGGCTGGTTGTCTTCCCTCTGGTCAGTAGTTCAAAAATAGGGGTAGTGACAGATAGCCTCAGTGGCTTTGTCAAAACTAAAAGAGAGAGAGAGAGAAAAAAAAGGCATATAATGTCCTCGAGGCTGAATAGACAAGCTCGTTTGATGGTAATGGGAATTGAACCCAAAATTTTCTAATCCTGGAAAGTACTGGTCTGAAGCTGAACAAACTTGAATGCAACAAAAATATAATAATGAGAAATCATGGTGTCATTATTTTAATTACTTTGATAGTAGGAATAATCAAAAATAGTAATATTCAAACAATACAAATGTTTTGTTAATTAAAGGATCAAAAACACAGCCTAGAACACAGTGATATAATTATTAACTTTCAGTGTAATGTTCTCATTTTTGTATGACTGAGCATTTGTATTTTAAAGTGGATTTTTATTTGGTTTTTGCCTATAATCCTGCAAAATGAAACCATGAACAACATACTTTTCTTGATAGTCAGTTATGTGGATGTTTGAATAACTATTAATAGGCCATGCAAAATCATTGAATGGTATTTGCATCATAACATAATACAAACACAACAAGGGGCCATTTGGTTCTTTAAGGTTGTTCTTGCTCACCCACCCTCGAGAGAAGTAAATATTTATACCCACCCTTTATTTTTCAGGAAACAGTTGATTTCTCCATTACACTTCTTGTATAGTACCAGCCTATGCTTCTGCCAGTGGCAAATGATTTTATAAGCCAATCATCCTGTTAAAAAGATAATACTATTTTAACTGGTGTAGTCGTTTTTTACAAATCTTACAACTTGTGTCTGCTCATCTTGTACTCTTCAGAATACAATACACATCCACAAACAAAACCACACATGTAATAAAAAAAAAAATCAAATACTTTTATTACATTGATCCCCCAGATAATATCATACAATAAACTTAAATAGGTTTCGCATCTTATCCTTTTTTTTTGCCAAAAGAAAATAAGTTGTAGAGGTCTTAACTTATCTGTTCCTTCCCTGAAATCATCATCATAATAGCCCTCTTTAAAAAACTTTCCAGTACTCACTGTAGTAGTGTAATCAATTGCACATAAAATCATTGATCATGCATGCATCATCATAAAACTAAAATTATTGAATATATTTTTAAAAAATTTAAAGCCTAAAGTTTGAATTTAAAGATCTTATTTCACGTACTTAAAAATGCTTAAATGTTTTGAATATTTTGGATTTTATTTGAAAATTATTGAAATTTGGTTAACAAACCTGCATGATCTGTGAAGTGGTGTAAAACTACACTAGCATCATTTGCTGCCTCTGTCTTCTTAAAAATATAGTTCTCTCTAGTTACCAGTACATTTTGTCTTTCAGTTTTAGTTTCAGTACTGCTTTAGTTTTTTATTTGTTTTTCAGTTGCTGACACAACATAATTATGAATGTCAGCATGTGTGGGTGGATTGAGAAGCTGTAAGGGGTGGTTTATAGATAATAATGCTCAATAGTTCTTGAAAGTCACTACAAAATGCCAGGATTTGTTGTAAAAAAAGAAAAGGAAACTCCACCATAGGATGCTACCATCTTGAGATTAGATTGACTTGGTTTCACAATTTTTATTATGAATCATACTTCTTTTTTTATTTTTTTATCTCTACATCTGTTAGTCTAGTCTCAATTATCAATCAACCGTAAACCATTGTATGATGGGGGAAGATTTACACATATCTTTAAGGTGTTAATGATTAGTAAGATTTTTAGAAATTTTAATAAGCTGCTTATTTTTCAGGTTTTTTTGAAAATGTTTATTCATTTTGAATGTAAAAACAAGTTAGGTGACAAGTAGAGCCATTTATTCCACTGAAGACCTTTCAAATTCTCAACCAAATGGTTTCACGATGAAACATCTGTGTATCTAATGTATTATTTTGTGTCCATGTATGGTATATAAATACCTACCTATTCAGCAAAAATGTGAGAGAATCAAAGCTATAAAAATACAACACATTATAAGATATTTAATAATCATTGGAAATTATTCCAGCTAAGAATAAGTTAAGGGCTAGGTTGTAAATCTTATGGTTTACTTCTAATATTCTAGTCATTATTATCAAATTTTCCTCCCAGAAATTAAAAGGGTTTCAATGGGCAACTTGTCTATTTGGCAACATCCATTCTGTACTAGAACTTGGGTCCAGATTTTGGGTGATCTGGGAGGGTTAATAGCATATATTGACTTCTTCCATTTCTAAACCCCTAAAGATTTAAAAATTTAAATTGTTTCACATCTAGCTTTTCATTTTTCCAGGGAAAATAAGTGCAAGGGTTTAAACCTCTCATCTGCATTCAGTTTTAACAGTAGGTGGCACCCTGGTGATTTTTGCTGCATCATTCCAACATAAGGTGAATAACAGTCACTTTAACTCTCTTGGGTTTATAATCATGTTTTTTTTATTTTTTGCTACTACTGTTTGGGGCAAGGACTTTCTGTTTTGAGGTTAAAATGATGGAACGCTTTGTGTATACCTGATAGTATCAGGTTTTTGAATCATGACAGGAATTTTAGCTCTAAATATATCTGTAGGAATATCTCTCATGTTAGAATTTTGTTTGTGGATATTTGTGTAATAAACATATAAGCATTTGAATAAAATAAAGGTGAAAATTTACTGGCCTGTTTTGTTTCCTATACAATAACAGGCTTTTGACAAAATGTTTTATATTTAAAGACTATTTTAACTTTTTATTTATTGACATAAATCTTTTCAAACTTTTCAAAAATGCCATTTGGCTCTAAGAAATTGTGCTAGCAAAATTTTCTTTTTGATCCATACATCCTACATTTATTTAAGTGTTGCTGTAATAAGTTGGCAAATAATGATTTATAAGCATAATAAAATGATTTATTTTTGGGAGAACACACTATATGTTTTGACAGAACACTGGTCTTCTGCAGATATGAAGAAGACAGAATCCAGTGTTCTGTAAAAACAAGTAGTATGTTCTCCCAAAAATAAATCACTTCATTATGCTTATAAATCATTGTTTGCCAACTTATTATATTAGCAATGTGCTTCTTTACTCAAGTTTTGTTGTATTATAATGTAACATTGAAACACACAAGTTTGTCATTTCTTTTCAAAGTCTAGCAATTCCTAACACAATGTACAAGTGTAAATGTGAGCATATTGTATCAATGTGATGGTTTGAAGTATCATCATATTTTACCTTTTTTTTACTAGTATAAAATATGCAATTATTTATGCATATTCAGGTAATGTTTATGCACATAGTTAATGCCATGCTTATAAGCTAAAAATAGGAAGGTTATGAATTTGTACTAATCTTCTTGCCGAGACAGAGGTTTCATACTGCAACAGTTGTTCATAGACTTTTACTTCTTTGGCCATGTTTCAATATCATCCCTCTCTGGAGTAAGATCATTCTCATTCCAAAAAAGTGGTGCAGAGACTTGTACATGTCACTATTAACTTGTAGGGTTTATCTCCTTTGAATACATTTAAGTACTGTAAGGGTTGTGAGGTGTCTCAATGTTCTTGGTTTTCCCTGGTTCTTGTCTAGTGCGAATGTATTTTATTCTGCATCATGTCTTTGTTTGATATAGACATACTTTTTTACTTGCTCTTTTGCCCTTGCAGCTGATGTAGCCCTCGATAACAAGATCAGAAACTGCCCACTTAAGTAAACAATAATTTACTTTGTGCATGTGTGTGAATTAAGACTGTTTGTATGGGTTTTCTTGTGTTCTCTTTCTGTCTATGTAGATTTTATTCTCAAATAACATTTCCATAACCTGCATTTTGTGGGTATTTGAGACTTGCCTGATGGATATCAGTATACCTGAATACCACATCAGGATCAGGTTGCATGTAGTAAGTTTGATTACACAGTCTGACATTACTGGTAATTTGATGTAATTGTGTGCACTTTGAATATGATACCCAAGTGTGTGAAAACTCATTTTCAAATGATTTATACTGTTTTTTGCTAGTATACAAGCTTTTATAAATAATCACTAATTCACTAAATATATATACTCTAGCACAGTTGTTTTGAAAAGGTCTTAAAAATAGGGAAGCAGCTTTTGAAATTGGGAGATTTATTTCTATATAAGACTGTCAGTAATCAAATTTTATTACCATGAGCCTACAAGTAACAATCCTTCATGCAATACAAAATCAAAGTATTTAATGTTTTATTTATAACTTCAATATTTCTGACTTAAATGCATATCAGTCAAGAAATGGTTAACGACTAAGTTTCCAAGACCTGTGTGAGTTTCTTTTTAGGTATCTTGACACACTAACTTGGAGATGAGGGATCACTTTGTCTATGTTAAAAATCTAGATTTCAAATTAGCTGCCTTACAATATCAATCTGCATTTGTTCTAATTTTAGAATATTAACTACAAACTGAGGTACTTGTCCTTTGTCCAGGCTATTAACTTCAACAAATGTGTGGGTGGATGATATGATAAATAACACAAAAAAATCATAATTTTCACACAATATATTTATCACATATTATTACAGTATTCATTATTACCTCACCAAAAGTTTTGTATAAGCTTTAAAAACTCAATATTTGTTAACTTAAAATGTGATACACACTGTGTGATGATCAGGGTACCTTTGCAGAAAGTGGTAGCAACCAAAGTAGTGGTGGTAGAAGTGTATTACAGGCTGAAGTTGATAAGTCACGGGTCAAAGTAGGAAGCTGGTAAAACTCAAAAAACGGCTCTTCGTACCAGCCTTATGGTGGCTGTTGGAATAGAAACTTCAGCTGAGTTTATATAGTATTGCAATAGTGGTGGCCATTTTTTTCATTGCATTTCTCCATAGAGAGTGCTAGCACACACACTGAGATATGTAAGATGATGTTTATGTTCCCTCCCCCTACACTGTGTATGTTGTGTTATAGAAAATTCAATAAAGTTTTTTTTGGTGTAAGGATGTGCTACCATCTATAAATGTAGTTAACATTAACATACATCAAAGGTAATAAATGCTCAATAACATTGTTCCAAACTATCACCACACAAAATTTTGTTGAGATTAGTCCAGTGATGTAGTATTAGTTAGATAAAGGACAAACAGACATACACACACAGATTTTTGTGCTTTATATATATACTTTCAATTAATTTAAACGTGATTCTTAAACTCAATATCCCATTTCTGATGGTGTAACTGTTTTCTCTTGAATTTTAAAATGCATTAGAAGTTATAATGTGATGGATAAAGAGCATTTGTAAACAACTAACAGAATTGTAATAGAGAAATTGATTGCAGAATAAATGCTTCCATTCTGTAGTGCAGAGGTTTAAAAACAAAATCTTTGGAAAGTCTAGCATTTTTCTATTACAAAAATATTAAGACTCTTAGAGTATTTACATTAGTATAACTATGATGCTTTATTGATGCTTTTCAACTAACTTTTAATTGTTTACTTCTATTTTTTAGAAGGAGATTGAGGTGTAAACCTGAGCACAGTAACTTATTTAACATATTTTGTTGGTACTTGATTAGGCAGTTATATGAGCCAATGATGAGTAGATACCAAACACGGTTTATTACAATATTATTACCTGTATAAGTTATCTTGGTTTTTATCTAATAAGTAACTAATAATTAGAGAACTTTTTTTGTTTTTGTTCCTCACTGAAGATTACTAGCTGGATAGTAAACTAATAATGTCTACACAACACCTTAAGAGACAATGTCTATTAGAGACAACATCTATTCTACCCCAAAATGAACCATTTATTCTGGCCCACAATCAGTTTTCAGATTTTACCAAAACGTATGGCATCCTCTCGAATTTTACCTGAATAGACATTTGTTCTGATCCAAAAATCAGTTGTTCCAAATTTTGCCTGAATAACTAATGTCAATTCTAGCTCAAAATCAGCCATTCTGAATTTTAACCAAATAGACAACATCTATTCTATCCCAAAATGAACATTTCAGAATTTTAACCAAATAGACAACATCTATTCTATCCCAAAATCAGCCATTCAGAATTTTAACCAAATAGACAACATCTATTCTATCCCAAAATGAGCATTTCAGAATTTTACCTTAGTAGTTTATTCTAGCTCAAAACAAGCCATTCTGAATTTTACCTGAATAACTTAGCTAGTTGTTAATATAGCTAGGTGATTAATGGAATCTGCTAATATGTTAATCATCAGGCTTGATAACTGATTACATTCAAATAATTGATTATTCTTACATCAGACTTGGATGGTTAGAGCAATTGGAAGCACTAATTTCAATTAGTTGATTATTTTCTTGAGTCATGACACTAATAAATTTAACTGAACAATCTTGAATTAATCAGATATAATAAAGAGAAAGTGTAATGCTAATATTTCAATTGCTTAGATAGT